TGAAAACCATTACATATTTGCAAATTTAAATGTATATGATATCCATATAACTATAGGTAAAGCATATCTTAGAAAGCTTTTACACTTACAATTTTGAGTGATGTATGTTTAAATCGTCTGTCCAGTACAATAAATATCCAGGTTGTCTTTGTATCAGCATAAGGCCATAAGTCCTTAGACACTTTTCAATCCATTTCACTATTGCAAGAATGATTGATAGTGTCTCTATATGGTTAATAGTGTCTCTATATGGTTGATAGTGTCTCTCTATATGGTTGATAGTGTCTCTATATCCCTCGTATAGTTTAATCGGATTAATGCCAATCGTCCCTATTTGGAAACTCTCTTGTAGGTGTTAGCCCGAAATAGACATTTTGTTTCAAAATACATACCATCGGTAATTTAAAAAGAAAATCTTAATTAAAACAAAACTTTAAACTGTTTATTTAATAACAATTTTATCATTTATCATAAACTAATAAAAACCTTATGGTTAACAAACACATTCAATTTTTTGGTCAAATATACCCAAAACTAAACCATAGTTAGCAACTAAATACAAAGTTGTTTTTAAAAGTAACATTAAATTTCTTCAAGATAACATTGTAGAAACAATTTATCTTATCAAATACTGCAAATAAACATACAAAAGAAATATATAAAAAACAATAATGTTATAAAAATATAAATTAACTTTATATTAAACTAAATGCGTGGTTTCCCAAATCGAAATTTTTCCTTACAACACACATTCTTAAACAATTAAAAGAACCTAAATTTAAACATAAGATTCAATTGAAAATTTGTGTCAACACGTTTTCAAAATAGCAACAAATCACATGTTTTCAAGAAATAACTGCACTGAAACGTGGTGTCTAAATGCAACCCATTTATTTGCCAAATAGCTCAGGTGTTTGTAACAATTAACAAATGGGATCGTTTAATTTAACAGACTCATCAGCGCCTAAAAATGTTGCATATTTTATATAAAGAAAACACTTGTTTTTTTTTTCTTATTTTACTTTCTTCGAAGAAAACTAAAAACAGACAATGCCTAAATTTAAATTTTAAAGACAAGCGAAAATGAAATTATTTTGGACTCTAGCCAACTGAACTACTAATTCTAGAGATATACAAATATGTATGTAGATAAAGACATATTTTTCTTTATGCAATTATGTTGAGTATTTGCTGTTTAAGACGAATATTTAAAATATATTTTGCCTTGATTTTTTTGTTTGTTTAGTAAATGACTAATGTTTTTTTGTTATGCTCTCTTTTAGGTATCCGTTTCTCTATGGATGTATCTCGTGATGAAGTCAAAGCCTTGTCCGCTTTGATGACATTCAAGTGTGCCTGTGTTGATGTACCATTCGGTGGTGCTAAGGCCGGTTTGAAGATCAACCCCAAGGAATACTCTGAACATGAATTGGAAAAGATCACTCGTCGTTTCACTCTTGAATTGGCCAAGAAGGGCTTCATTGGACCCGGTGTCGATGTACCTGCCCCTGATATGGGTACTGGTGAACGTGAAATGTCCTGGATTGCCGATACTTATGCCAAGACCATCGGTCACTTGGATATCAATGCTCACGCTTGTGTAACTGGTAAGCCCATTAACCAAGGTGGTATTCACGGTCGTGTTTCCGCTACCGGTCGTGGTGTTTTCCACGGTTTGGAAAACTTCATCAATGAAGCCAACTACATGAGCATGATTGGCACCACTCCCGGCTGGGGTGGCAAGACTTTCATCGTTCAAGGTTTCGGTAATGTCGGTCTCCACTCTACCCGCTACTTGACCCGTGCTGGTGCCACCTGCATTGGTGTCATTGAACACGACGGTTCCATCTTCAACCCAGAGGGTATTGATCCTAAGGTATGTTTATCAATTTATACCTCCGATCATTTACATCTTTACTTATACCTACTTCCAATTTTAAATTTTCATTTTAGGCTTTGGAAGACTACAAGAACGAACACGGCACCATTGTTGGTTACCCACACGCCAAACCCTACGAAGGTGAAAACTTGATGTTCGAACCTTGTGATATCTTCATCCCTGCTGCTGTTGAAAAGGTTATCAACAGTGAAAATGCCCATAAAATCAATGCTAAAGTAAGTTGTAATTATTAAAATAAAAATAATCCAATAAATTGTCATGGTATTTTTCGTTTACTTTTAGATCATTGCCGAAGCTGCCAACGGTCCAACCACCCCCGCTGCCGATAAAATCTTGATCGATCGTAACATCTTGGTTATTCCCGATTTGTACATTAACGCTGGTGGTGTAACCGTTTCCTTCTTCGAATGGTTGAAGAACTTGAACCATGTCTCATATGGTCGTCTTACCTTCAAATATGAACGTGAATCCAACTACCACTTGTTGGGTAAGTTCATTGCCAGTTTATTTCCTTTTTTGTTTAAATACAAACTTTATTTATTATTTTATTATATTAAAGGGTTTTTTGGCTTAGTTCTTAAACAAAAAAAGAAATTCGCTTAATATAATCATATGGCTTAAGCTGAAATTAAGCTAAAATTCCATTACAATGGTTTTACGTTATATATTATGCTATTATTTTAATTACACTTCATTTGGTTTGGCTTCTTTTTAATTTCATTTTATTATTTGTTTATTAAAACATTTTAAAAATCATTTAAGTTTTAACTTTATTAAGAAGACCTTTTTCTAAATTTCACTTTCATTGTCTACAACATATTTTTAGTTTAATATTCTATTAAAAGTCAAAATACCTTTCTTTACATTAGTTCTGTATTGTAGCTATTTGATTGTTGGCATTTTCGCAATAGTAATTTTGTTCTTTTTTCGTTTTCTATTTCTTCTTAAATCAATTTAGCCTCAGTACAACAGTCTATTGAAAGATTTGTTTTGGACGGTACAGTTTTTCATTTCTTTTTTTAATTTCATACTTTTTTATTATTATTTACGTCTTTATGTTTAGTCATAAATTATAATTTTCTTTATCATTTCTAAAAAACGAAACAACTTATCAATGCTATCATTAGTTTTTAGTTTTTCTCCCTATCCTTACATTTTGTACATATTTGGTCTGTTTGTGGTACTAAACAAATTTGTCGGATTTTGGTAAAAAAATTCATTTGAAAATCCTCAATAATGAAATAGTTAAACCTACAAATTGTTCAAGTACTGGGACAAAGCTATTGTATTTAAATGTTTTTTGTTTTGATTAATATTTATTGGAATTGCAGGTAAAATAACTTACTCCAACACCGTCCAAATAACTTATACATATAGTTTACGATTATGAAAATTAGAAAAAACATTATGGGTTTCAGAAAATTGGTGTTTAATGTAAAACTTTTAACAAACTATTTATTTAAAAGATATTGAAGTTATATGGACTACGGGTGGTATAAGTAATATTTTAAAGTCTATTTGCCACAAGCTAAAATATATCGGTCTGTGTTATGTGTAGTTTATAGAGGAGCACTGTAGTATTTAATGTATTATCCCTATTAAAAAAAAAAAAAGCTAAATGATTATTTAACACATTTTTACTTTTATTTATATATTTACAAACATAGCTGCATCCCTTTAAAACATTATTTCCACCCACTTTTGCTTTATTTTTCTTTTAATATTTTCTATTAACTTTTGTATTTTTATTAAAATTATTTTTTATGGAAATTTTATTTTGTATTTATGTTCACAATACTTATGTTTTATGTTTTCTTTCTATATATTAAAAAACACTAATCATAAATATTTTCCCTTTTAACTTTTATTCATATAAATATAGAATCTGTCCAAGAATCTTTGGAACGTCGTTTCGGTCGTGTTGGTGGTCGCATTCCTGTTACACCCTCCGAAGCTTTCCAAAAACGCATCTCTGGTGCCTCTGAAAAGGATATTGTCCACTCTGGTTTGGATTACACCATGGAACGTTCGGCTCGCGCTATCATGAAGACCGCCATGAAGTACAACTTGGGTCTTGACTTGAGAACCGCTGCCTATGTCAACTCTATTGAAAAGATCTTCACCACTTACCGTGATGCTGGTTTGGCTTTCTAAGGTGCTTAAATTGAAATTATACAAAAAGTCAATCCTCTATGATGGTGCATACTTACAAACATAACTTGCAACCTACGTCTATGTATTTTAATTAAGTTTTAAGCCTTAAAAGTAATAAACACACACATTAACAACTCTTAAGCTAAAAATTCACTCGAAACATGAAATGTTTATAAAAAATTAAAAAAAAAAAACAACCAGTAGTTAAAACATTCTTTTTAAGCAATATATAATTTTTGAAGAAAACAACATTAGTTAGTCCTGCCATTTGTCACAAACAAAAAACTAAAATAATTAAGTAATTGACTTTTAATTGCCATCTTTGAATTTATCAATCGAAAAGGAACAAAAACACGATCGATCTTACTATGCAGCGACTTTTTTTAAATTTTCTTGTATTTCAATGTATTAAATAGTTCTAAAATACAAATTATTTGTTTTCCTTTTCCCTAATTTATTTTTTAAACAATTTTCTTAATTATAATTATTGTTGCTGTTTAATATTTCTTTGAATTTAAGTTTTTTTCAATCCAATAAGCAAATGCATTTTAAATTAAAAACAAAAGATGAAAATATTCATTAATATTAAAACAAAAAATTAATTCAAAATAAAATAAAAAATAATATAAATATCAAAAAAAATATTAATTAATGTGGTTTTAATGGTTTATGTAATTTGAAATTTTAGAATTTTATTTAAATATATACAAAGTATTTTTACTATCACACGAAAAATAGTTTTTGGAACACATTTCCCCTTTTTCATGAATTTCGATATTTGTATATGTATTGAAATTGAGAAAACTGTTAAGGGCGTTCTTCTAGAGAGATTTGGATTTATATACATACATATGTCCAAAATTTTGTCGTCGGTCCTAAAAATAAATAACTCCAACTAGCATTAAAACCTTCCAACTCTATAAATTTAAAAAGAAATATGTTGATATTTATTTTTAAAATTTTAATTTTATTAAGAACCAGATTAGTAGTAGCTTTTAGCTTACTTGTATAGCAAAAATTTGAGATGTTATAATCAAATAACAAATACATTTATAAATTATAAATAATATCCATTAGATCTTGTTTTTTGATAGTTTTAGGAGCTTTCTTATTGTAATGTGTACTTAAAATTTCCATTAATTGATCCTTGGTGCAAGAATTTAGAGACTTATTTTTAATCATTTCCTTAATATAGGCTTCATTTTTAACATCAAAGACTGCTGATAATTTAGGTTTCTTAGCGGTGTTCGATGAACCAGAAGTTTTGTCCGCAGAACGTTTTGATACCTCTGGCATTTCTGGACCAAATACTTCTTCAAAGGTGGGTAATAGTTTTTGTATACGTTCCGTTTGAATGTCAGGATTGGGAAAATATTGACTGCCCAATGTTTCATAACTAACATTAAAAGCTAAACTCAATAGTTTCGATTGTAATTGATCCAAATCCGGATCACATAAGATATCGGGCTTATAATCTAAACGGAATTTTTTCATCAGCTTCTCACAGATCTGTAATCCTTCATCGTCGGCATCATTTTCTGGTGTATTCCAATCAGTTAAATTAAAACTGCGTATATAAGTAGCGCACGACAAATACACAATCTTAAAGCCATCATTGAGCATAATGGCTTCATGTGTTTCGGATTCAGCATTTTTCTCAACTGGCACCAAGGCCACATAACGAGGCATGGATTTTCTTCTACACATAAACAGGCAAATGGCAATTTTTTCTTTTTCTATGCATTTTTCCCAAAGGGCACGGAATAGACGTTTTGAACCCTCAATGTGTATATCATCTGGATACATAAAGTTGGCTGTTTTGCAATATATTGCGCTTTTCAAAGAAGAACGCGGCTTAAATCCCAATAGCGACATTCCAGGTGGGTGAAGGTTACGTACTCTATTCACCTGCTCATAGGATAAACGCATTCTTTCGGTTCCCAGATTTATTTCATACCAAGCATTTTTTATATTTACATCTTTTACTTCTTCTGCTGCATCCATTTCCTGATCCTGCTTACGTACCTGCGTAATACGATGTTTACGTACCACAGCACTATCAGTACGTTGCAATAGTACATTCTGTGGTTTCTTACCCTTTTGGTAATAATTGAAATATTGGGCAGAGAGAACCAAATTAGGACCCAAAGTAAATTTAAAATGACCCAAAGAGCGACGTACATAATGTTGCTTAAACTTACGATTGGCTAACATTTCGCGCAGCCTTTTTGGGTCAGTTGGCTCGAAACAATCTATATCGGTGTCCTGAATTAAACAAATAAACTCTTTATAAAATAAATCATAATTAAATATGTCTATCATGGGTATCAGATGGAATTCTACATCTCTTCCCTTTAAGTCGGCAGCTTTTTGTAGAACTTGTCTATAACATTCAGAATCGTGAGGATGCGGCAGCTCAATGTCGGTTAAGTAAACAATTGTGGTATTATCAACCAGATAATTACAATGCTGAACTAAATCCATGCAAAGCCTGAGCATATGAGAAAAGTTACAACCTTCATCTTCAGGCGCTACGCCATATATTTCATCAAATTGTGTTGGCGCCGTTTCGACGAATCTCAGAAACATTTGAACTATAGCAGTGTTTAGTTGGCGTGGCGGTAGAAATACTGCACATTTTTCTGGCATTATTATGTCCTCCAAACAGTTGGGCTCATGAGGTTCTGGCGAATGTTTTGTGTTTGCAAATATCAAACCTATTAAGTCCCTGTCATTTACCATGAGGCCTGATAAAAAGGCTCTGCGTAAAATCACCAAAGCATTGTCCAATAATTCCGATCTATTATACAAATTAGCATCGATAACAAATATAATAGCTTCTCGGCCGCTGAACTTTTTCTGCAATTGATCACCTTCATCTTCGGAATCTGAAATCGATATTTCAAATTCTGGATTCCAGGAACTCATCTTACTTGTTGGAATTCTGTAGTGTTTGGTGAATTATTCTTTGTTATTGAATTTCGTCATAATGACAAAAATTAAAGTGAAGTAAACAAAACAGAGATCTGCGCCGGCTAAAATTAACGTCGCAGGCGGCTGACATTAAACATTTCGGCGGTGACTTAAAATTGTGCATTCAAATTTGTCTAATATTTTAAAAGTTATCATTAACCCTTAAATGCCTGAATATGAATGAATGACCAGTCCAAACATTGACTTCAGGGCAAATAGTATGAGAAATGGAATGAACTAGATTTTCATTTTCTGCGGAAACATCAGCAATTTCGATTTTGTGGCCACCATAATGAATATACTCACCACAAAACTTTATTTATAGCCTAGTTTCAAATAAAATTTTTAGTATAATTAAACTTTTAATTGTCGTTTATTTTGGCACACAAATATGACAGTTTTTTTTTCTTTTTTTAAATTATAGAACCGTTTAATGTATAAATAATAACCACAGAAATATATATTTGTTGATTCTGTTCAGTATACTCTTCTTCTTTATGTGCAATGAAAGATAAAAAATATTACATATGATCTTCTTTAAATTTAATAATTTTTAATATCATTTATTTGAAATAAAGCGTTAATATCAAAATAATATTTTAAATATCAAATTACAGAGGCGCTTTTAATTCAATATTTTTGAAAATAATACATTCATGACAACAATAATACTATAAGTACACTTTAAGGGAGGGAAGAGGTTTGTTATAGAGTTGTAGTTTGGAAAAAGCCAAATAGGTACAATCATATAAAAATTTTTAATACATACAATTTTTTTAAAGAAAATATATTGAGTTAAGTCACAACTAATTGAACGTAAAGTTGTTATCCAAATAATATACTTTGTGGCAATTTTTCCGTTCAACTAGTTCTACTTTTAAGAGAAAAGTGTTTTTTTTCATAAATGTGTATACCTATCTATATATAATATTCAAATGTCTTTTTAAAAAAATATCTAATATAAAAAAATTAATTGTAACCCACAAAAACGAGGTGCAGTCTATCGATTCTAGCACAGCACTCCTATTAAATTCCTAACTAATATATCAGAGTATCGAGATGATGGTGTTGCCAACACTTTAGAAAATTAATGATTTAGGAAATAATTTCTGTTCAATATAATCATCTACCATGGCCTTGACAAGATCAGTAGTAACTTTGGGATGTTTTAATTGATAGCCAAATTCTTTTAGTTTCGTATTATCCAAATTCAAGTGCTTATGATATAACTGCTCTTCGTCCAAATATGGTGTGAGTGGTGTATTGGTTAAACCATTTTGTTGGCAAATTTCCGCCCATGGCGATAAATGTTTATCGTTAATTTCGCTTACGGTGTCGGAAAGACTTAGCTGTAAATAAATAGATAATTTGTTTAATACTAAATGATTTGTAAATAGGTATTTTAAATACCTTAGTAAGATTTGACATTACTATGCCAAAGTAGTCAATATTAATGGAGAATATTTCAGCTAATATATCACTAATCGTCCCCTGTGTAGATTCAGCGTCATCAACTATATTATACGTCTCACGTTTAGCCTTCGGACTTGTAGCCAAATCCCAAACGGCAGCACTAACATCATCAACATGTACTGTTGATATTCTCATAGCATCATTCCATAAGAGTTTCATAGTCTCATTTAAATGTTTGTAAATGGCGGCAATTATGATACGTGGCACTGTAATTATCATAATAAGGAATTTGGTTTGTTAATACATATTATCCTAATCGGGTTAAAAACAAGTAGGAGTTCTATATTCGGCTTTGCTAAATCTTAAATAAACTTCAATAAGTCAAATTGATTTTTTCCCAAAAACGTTTCTATAGAATAAATTGCCCCAAAAATTATTCTATAACAAACTTCTATAGAAAAACTTTCGTCTCAAAATCTGTTCTATATAAAATTATGTTATAAAAACAATTTGATAGAACATTTTGTTCAGATAAATAAAGCGTTTCGTACCTAATTTTTTTTTAAATCGCACCATATATAGAAAATATTCAGTTTTTGTTAAATGTTAAAGAAATCTTATCACGGCAAGTGTAACACAAAAATTATTTTAACTTACTCAAATAACGCTTATCACCAAAACCATATACAACCGGCAAACGTACAACAGTATAATCAAAGTTCTCCATTGCCTGTAATTCTTTTTCAACTTTTAGTTTATATTTTGCAACAGCTGTCCAGGGATCATGTTTGCAATCTTCTTTTAAGGCATACTTTTCAGAGCTGTTTACACATCCCGAGCTAAATTCAATGTAACGCTGAGCCTTAATATTTACGGCTTCATTGGCACAGTTAAGACTCAATTTTAGAATGCCCTCCTTGTAAACGGCATCTGTTTGATTGGGACGAGTTTCAGCGGCACAATTAAATATCAAATCCCACGAACGACCAGTTGTTGGGTGTGGTGCAAAAGCATTTTTACAGGAATCTAGAAAATACAGAGAAATAACAAAATATATGATAAGAAATTTTAAAAATAATAATATGTACAAATGCATAGATTATTTTATAAAACTGCCCACATTATGCATCAACAGAATGGAAGAATGAAAGAAAATAAGAACCAACAAAAATAGAAGCCTACTTACTTTGATTTATCAGATTGGCACTGCAAAATTCAACTTTTTCGTTGTCAAAGGCTTTCGATTGTTTTGTATTCAGCCAGGCCATCTGTGGAGGCGTTTTATCAACTACACGTATTTCCTGTGACAAATCATTCTCCACTAAATACGTTAATAAATTGCGTCCAATGAAACCGCAACCTAAAAATAACCAAAATGATTAATAAATATTATATTAAAAAGGCAGTCAATCATACATAAATCAGAATTCAAATTTTAAAAATATGAACTCCCTTAAAACCACCTATAAAAAGTATTAGAGCCAACTTTAAGCTGACCACTGGAGGGCACTTTAATATACATATTCATATGTATGTACATATGTATATATGTATGTAAAAAAAATATTTTTTACATACATTCGTATATAAATATGTACATAACAAGTGGTCGTTTCTTTTTTGTTTGTCCACCTATTACTCATTCGTAGTATTTGTCATATTACTCCAAATTGTTCATCTTACCTCCCAATAATAAAACTGTTGGTTTTTCCGACATTGCTGTTTTTCTTTACTTTTTTGATTTAGGAAACCTTAAACTTTTCTTTTTATTACTTATTTTTTTATTTATCAGACAACAATAATGTATTATGCAAATGTAAAACCGCTGGGAATATTATTGTAATCTTTTTTTTTTGAATTAACAATGCAAAGATCTGCGCAGACAAGAATTAAGAACGGCGTTGGCAAGCACTAATAATTTCGTCGACGACTTTTAAACGATTGTAAGCCGGCAAAATTTTCAGTTGTTTTTAGCGATATTTTGAAATATCGGAATTTTAAAATAGGGATCTAATTAAATTTAATATAAATAACAAGTAAGATGCAATATTCGCATCGTCGAACTTATATTCTCTTCAAAATAATACAAATCAGCTAAGATATGGGTAAAATTATATAATTATAAATTTTGCCATTTTTAAGATAAATATTCGATCGGCTTTAAGTCAAATCGACGCAGAGATCTTCAAAGAAAAAATGCGAATCAAACACAAGAGAGGAAAATTACAGAATTGTTTTAATAAGTACTAAAGAAAAATAGTAATGTTTAAGTCATGCATGATTGAAACAAACTATTGTACATTATTTAAAAAAATCAAGTAGATTTTTATTTTACAATTTATGAAAATCCACATTGAAATTGAAAAATATAACATTTTGCCCTCAATAAAATATAAATCATATTTTTATTGAATCCTCATGATAAGGAAATTTTTTAAGAGTTTTGAATTTTTTTTGAAGAATCGTCGTAATCTGCTTAGAAGCTTTAAAAAGTCGAAAATTAAAAAAAAAAATGTCGATATAAAATAATATGTAATTAAAATATTTTTTTTGCTACAGTCTGACATAGTTATTGTTACAATTTCTAATTCTGTGTCTGTAATTAATAACAAGTAAGAAATTATAGTCGGGCGTGGCCGACCATATGATACCCTACACCAGTTATGAATATTAAATGTGATTTATTTTTCATAATAAAGCATTTATCTTCAATATTCCCTTGTTCCGATACATTTAAGCAATTTATGGATGAAAAACAAATTTTCTGAAATAGGCTTTATATGGGGGCTAGGGGCAAATATGGACCAAGCCCGCTAAAATTTTGTGAATATATTTATATTGACATAATATTTTATTGTGCTGAATTTCATCGCGATATTTGTGTTTATAAGCTAATTTGGGACATCCAAGTAATTTTCTGAAGGGGACTTTGTATGGGAGCTAGGGTCAAATGTGGCCCGATCTTTATGAAATTTGGCAGGGTCATCAAGGCTTCTATAAAACTTAGTTGTGCCGTATTTTATCGATATATCTGTATATTTAACATAATTATGAGCTCAGAAGCCCTTTTCGGGGGGATCTGTTCTATGGGGGCTAGGTGAAATAATGGACCGATCTTAACCATTTTCAATAGGCTTCGTCCTTAGGTCAAATAAAACGTGCGTGCCAAATTTCATCCAATTATCTTGAAAATTGCGACCTGTACCTTGCGCACAAGGTTTACATGGACAGCCAGCCAGACGGACGGACATAGCTTAATCGACTCAGAAAACGATTCTAAGCCGATTGGTATACTTTAAGGTGGGTCTAGGACGAATATTTTTGTATGTTACAAACATCAGCACAAATCCAATATACCCTCCCCACTAAAGTGGTGTAGGGTATAAAAAGAAATCTCTTATATTTGAATGTTTTTTTTTCTCGATTAAGAACATATGCACTGGAATAATTATGTTTTTAACATAAGTATTAAAAAAGAAGTCAAAAAGTGACAGTGTCAAAAATTGGATTTTTAAAAAAATTAGAAAAGTCGAAAATTTCAAAATTATAAAGCGACACTGCCACACATCAAATTTTTGATTGTGTTAGTGAAAAACTCACATGTATATATGCGGTGTGAGTTTTTTTACTAACACAATCAAAAAACTTACCGTTTGAGTCAAACAATTTGATGTGTCGCCAAGGCGCTTAAAAGGTCGAGTTTTCATAAATTACATATGTCGAATTACATTGATATCATCGCTGTCATGCATAACTGAAGCTTCATACTTAATTATACAACTCTGCATGAATATATTAAATAAATATTGCCAGTCCCTTTTAAGATTGTTAATTGCGGGGAAAGTTTTTTGTATAAAACATAATTTCATTATTTATAGATCACTATTTACAGGGAATTTGTATTTTTAATATTTTTATAATTATTTAAGAAAATATATTTTCTCGTTCTTAAAAATGATATGTTATATAATTTGGAGAATTTCCATTAATTTTGTAAACAACAACTTTTAAAAACTTGGCAACCCTATTGTTATCAAAGATTTAAAACAAATTTGTTTTAAAAATATTTAGCGCTTCTCATACTAATTTCTTACTTATTTTATCGCAAACTGTAATTTGATTTAACCCTAGTATTTAAAAATTACAAAAGTATGTCTTTAAAGAAACAACTTGATTTATATATAGAAGTTGATGTCCTAACAGCGGGGACAACGGCGGAAGTTGTCAATGCAATCTTGGAATCATTATTGTATCAAAGGAACCAGATACCATTTGTTTATAAAACCTATCGATATTATGTCAACAAATGGTTAGAACAGGAACAGAAGCAATCAAAACTTGACAACGAAATCTGTGGAGTGCAAAGTTTTCAGGTGCAACGAAAGAAACAACAAGCTACCGCCACCAAGGAAGCTATAAGCGCCATGAGAGAGGTTTGTTTATAAAGTAATTTAAAATTAACTTGGTAAATAGAAATTAATATTACAATTTATGTAAACAGACTATTAAAAAGGCCTTTGAAAAGAAACCTATAAAATCTTTAAGATTTTTGTTTGGCTCCACCATATTTACCGCCAAGGAATGTTATACGTTACACATACCTACTGAAAATATTGCAATGAACCATTTTCATGACCATCATAGTATATCACCGGCCAAACTAAATCAAACCTTATTGTAAGTTTTAAGTTATGGAAATAAGCAATTCAATGAAAAAACTAAAATATTTTTTATATTTTTCTTAGATCTCTATTAACGAGTGAAGATCTTTATGGCATATTTTCTCATAATTTAAATCCTACTAACATGTATTTGGAATTAGAAATAATGGAAAATGAAAATCCCAACTTAATATCTAGTAAGGAAGCCCTCAACAAATCACAAATATTTCCCAAAGATTTTTCATCATTACCGGCCAGCTGTAAGGACATTCATATACATTTAATGCATAAACCCGTCGCCACTATTGATTATAAACAACTTAAATGTTGTAAAGATCTACAAGTGTTCGAGGATCTAATAAGTTTAAATTTGGACGATGCCAGCGAACGACAGGACAATGTTAATAATAAACTGTTTAAATCATATCCAAATTCAACACCTGCTTGGTGGGAAGCTGAAATTGTTATACGCGGTTTTAAGGATCAACCTACTAAGGGGTTTAATATTTGGTCATAATTTTTTTTTAAGAATATTGGGATAGTTTTCAACCGCTATGGACTTTTTAATTAGATTACTTTTTTTAATAAATAGATGACGTATTTTGAATAAAGTTTTTAGATTTAATAAAAAAGAACTTACACCATGAATTTAACAATAATTTAGAAATAAGGTCTATGGAATAATCTTCCATAACAAAATTATTAAAACTGTATTCACTGAATGTGCGGCTACCTATACAATTTTAAATCTATTTATTCATCAAACTATTTTCCAATGATCTCTTGCCTCTAACAACTTCTTACAAGCACAATGATTGGTTAATGTTTTCGGATCCCTTAAATGTTGTTGCAACAAATCTTTGGCCACTTTTTGTAACGCTGAAGTTTGGCATATATTTAGATCACATTTTTGTAGAAAGAGTATTTTATATCCTGGTAACCATCCATATGTTTGATTTGTATACCGCGGTACTTTTGAATGACAACGCGCATCATGTTTACGAACCTTTTCAAGTTTTTGCTCATAATATAAAATTTTCGAACTTTCCGTTGTTTTCGCCCGTTTATCAGGCGGAGACCAAAATTTCTCCGTTATTGGTTTCTGGCGATAATTTGCATTGAATTTATGGTAATCTGACGTAGGTTTTGGAACACAACAACTCATAATAACTGATTAAATTAGAAAGGAAAATTTTAAATGTAATGTAAATTTATTTTTTTAAATTATTTTAGAAATTGCCAGCCCTATTATGAATAACAATTTCCAGGGATTTTTTCTGAGTGATTACTCTTTATAGCGATTAAAAAGGAGATACTCTGGAACCGATTATCAAAACAACTCTTTTGCAACAAACCAAATTTAAAGCACAATAAATATATATGTATGGGTATGCAAAGGTATGCAAAGGTAATATGCATGCCAAAAGAAAGATATTTGAAAAACCTTTTATTTGATATGCATTAAGCGTAGATGTTGCTCGAAAAATTGGGTGAAAATATGGGTTTTTTGTGGATGTTACTCACTGCTGAAAATGCTTAATTATGAAAAAAAATTTTAGAAAAAGACAAAAATATAAAATTTTAAAAAAGATATGATTTTTTTATTAATAATTACGAAAGAACAAATAAATGGACGAAATACTTAAGAACATTAATAAGGGCAAAACAAAAAAGATGTTTTTATATTAAAACATATAGATAGAACTATATAAAAGAGAAATATAAAATAACATACGCAATACTATATAATCGAATATAAACTTATAAATATGTATGTTATGTATTTTTTGTATATAATAAAATATCTTAATTTGTATATAAATCTTAATTATATAATAAGGGCACTTTAAGAGCGTTATATTTAGTTATAAATAACTAAACTATATATAACATACAAATAGTTTTGTTTGCTTTATGTTTTTTTTTTTTAAAAAATGGAATTAATAATTGTTTTGCTTAAAATCTACTTTGTGGGATATTCTTTTGGATATATTCGAATTGTTTGTATTTGTTTTTTCTTCTTTATAAGTTTATAATGACTGCATTTAATGGACGGAATGTTTGCAGTTACATGTTTTTCACATTTGAGATTTTTTGTTAAAAAATTTTGTTTCTTATCGCTTTGCTAATTTAACTGTGCGTTATTTGCTTTAAAAACGAATAAATTAATAATCAACTAATTGTTAAATAATGAGGCAGATATGAATGTTAAAATGGTTACGATTAATAAAGTATTGACATTAAAATTATAGCGACGATCGGCATGATTTCGTGTTGTTTTACCTAAAATACAAGAGAAAGATGTGTTAACAGTTATAAAAATAAGTGGATAAGTGAATTTAGTGGTTTCATTATGTTATTTTGGCAAATTACCATATATGTATGTACTTTACATAACTCTGTTAACTTAACGGTCTTTGCATAACATACATGTTAAGTTGCCGATATAACTTCCGTAGCCAATTTCACACAATTTTATAAAACCAAAAAATGTCTTACCCATTTGGAAATGAACCGTAGGACTAGACATGCGTCCATCACCGCCGTTGCTGAAGGCCAATATACGCATGTTATACATTTTACCCGGCGTTAGATTTGTTATATAGGCTTCGAGTTTTTGTCCCACTGGTATTATTGTATCATTTGCCGTTATCATATTTTGATCAGACTCCCAGACACGCACCTTATAGCCCTCTATAGGTTCTTCATCTTGTGCCGGTGATACATAACGCCACACTGCTCGTACAGTTGAAGGATTAACACCGAACACATGCACCGAAGAAGGTGGTTTTTGTGGTGCCTTTCGATAAGTACGTTCTGAAATATTTTAGAAAATTTTAGTTAAAAATATTTTTAAGATTCACAATTTTTAATCTTCAAAATACCTTCGAAACGTTCACTTTCTGGTCCTTCGCCGGCAGCATTGTAAGCCATTACTTTAACAAAATAATAAGTATCGGGCTGTAGACCTACAATTAAAGCCCAATTGCGTACGGTACGTGATAAATAGTAAACAGCATCTTCTTCCTGATGTGTAGTCTTCCAGTATTTGATCTAAATATAACATTATTGATTAGCATATTTAAAAGTTTTTTTTTTTAAATAAATAACTCACTCTGTGACCAATAAGTTTTCCTCTTATATTTTCGCGTGTTAAATCAATGGGCTGCCAAGTGACATTGAAAGCTGTTGAATTGTATGCTAAAGCTATGGGTTTTTGTGGTGCCACTTGTGGCATATCTTCGGCAGAATATATTACTACAGGTTCACTTTCAGGGCCTTTTCCAATATTATTTATGGCTTGTACTTTGACTTCATATTCTGTGTAGTAGTTATTTATGGGCACATTCACCACAGCCATTCCAATATGATCTGCTCTCTTCACAATATCCGTAGCCCATTCAAATTTACCTTTAAGTCTATAGAATATCTTATAATGTATACCATGACTATGTTGTTCTTCAGGCAATAGAGGATCCCAGGTTATGGTAAGATCTCCTATCTTACCACCACCACCTCCAACATTACGTGGCGCTATGTAGGGTTTATCCTCATGTGTACTATAGATAGGTGAGGGAGCTGAGGGTATACCAATGCCTAAATCGTTAACGGCCGCTACACTAAACTCATATGAAGACCAGGGTGTTAAGTTGGTTACTTCTGCTTGCTGTCTACCAGTGTAGCGATCAACTTCCCGCGCCTGGACATGTGTAGATACATTGACCCAGGTACGATTCCAATTGGTACGACCCAATATATTATAATAACGTATAGGACGACCATTTGTAGCGCCATCAATCCATTCAATAATTGCTCTAGTCTTTCCAACATCAATAACCTGCACGCCACCCGGTGCCCCGGGAGATCCTTCAATAACTACATTTGTTTTGGCCGAAATTTCATTGACAGAAGATTTAACAACACATTCGTAATCTCCGCCATCCAACATTGTTACATTGTGAACAGTTAAGCGGTTATAGTCGATAATCTAAAGTATGTATGAGTATGAGTGAAAAAAATGTCTTTAATTCGATCAACAAAATTATCTAAGTAAATATCTGCGGCCTCATATGTGATAGAATAAGCGTACATTTCAAAAATACATTTCGATAACGAAATTAATCTAAAATGTACTAGATTTAGTCTACTTAAAGTTATTACATAACAATGTTATACGTGATATACTTATACTTATTTCAACTATTATTGTCTCCTACTTACAATTCGTTCTGTGCCATCATGATTATTACGCAAAACTTCACCATTATGTTTCCAAACGTAGGCAACATCCAACAGTTCATCATAACTAGCTTCACATTGTAAATATATTAAATCATGGACTTGAGTTGTTATACGCAAAGGTGGCGTTTGTATAAAACGTAATTCCTCTACATGGAAAGATATTAAAAACATTAAAAAGTGTTTACAATTATATAAATAACCCACAAAAACTTACGCAACACAATTAGACGTGAACGAGATTCATCTGAACCGGCAGAATTGGAGGCCACACAAGTGTACACGCCTTCGTCATCTCTAGAAGTGGGTGATATAATTAGAGTACCACTTGGCAATATACGTCTATGACCACCCGCACCAATAACTTGACCATCTTTCTTCCATTGAAACTTGGGACGTGGTGCTGCTTCCGGATCACATACTATTGTTGTATTGCCATTGTGTACAGCATATATTTCAGATTCTAAAGGATGTTTCTTGAAAGAAGGCTTCATGGACAACACCCTCAATTGAGCTGAGGAGAAGGCCGTTTTCAATTGATTCGAAGCACCACACTGATACATGCCATCATCACGATCAGCATCAAGATATTTTATGGTTAAAACATTATCTTGTATTATAAAACGATCCTTATCGATATTTTCGGGATCTAAACGTTCGGCATTCTTATACCAGGTGTAATTAACATCAGGTATGGCAAAGGATTCACAGATGAAGGTAACATCACTATTATAGTCTTTTATTTGATCCTTTAAAGGTATTGTAAATTGTGGTTTCATTTGTATATTGATGAAAATCGATTTTTCTATAGTTTTGCGTGGATTTGAGATGGTACAAGTATATTCGCCATTATCATTGGTGGTGGCATTTTGTATGATTAAAACTCGATTATAGTTTATGGTATAGGCATTACGTTGTAAAGGCTGGCCACGTCTAGTCCAATTATATGAAGGTATTGGATAACCAAAAGCCATACATTCTAAGCGTATCTCATCACCAGCTATAGGAGCTTCTGGGAAAACCTTTAGGAATTGTAATAACAATAAGTAAAAATATTAAAATCTAAAATATTTCAGTATAACTAACCTTTGGGAAAGAGTTGGAGAATATTAAAGCTTGGTAATTACTATTGGGCTTAACACGTAAAGGAAAGAAGGGGCCATTTCTTCCTGTATCGGATACCAAAGTTTGAACAGTACAAGAATAATTGGCCCTATCGACTGTTTCAATGAATGAGAAGTACAAAGCACCATCATGCGACACAAAAACACGCTGATCTTCTTCAACAAAATTGGGAAAATAATCCCTGGACCAATAGTATTTAACCTCAGGATAATGTTGTGGAGGATCACAGAATATCGATTTACCCCAGTTCATTTCACCCGTTTCTGCTGAACGTTTTAAATTGAATTCCATTATGAAACCAAAATTCAAATGAGCACTTTCCGAACGTATACGACCAAATTTATTTTCAGCTACACAATGGTAGGCACCCTGATCTAATGCCTGTTTGGGATCGTAAATAATTAGGTTACCTCCGGATACCGTATAACGATCATCTTTTAATGGATCAATAGCTTTATATTCCAAGGTATCATTCTCATAAACCTCACGATACCAACGATATGTGGGTGTGGGATAACCGCCAGCTAAACAACTTAGGGATACATCATTAATTAGACGATTTTTACTTGTATCGAATGTGGTATCATTTGGCTGTTTCACAAAGTAAGGACCTCGTGGTATTTTCTCATAGTCACGTATATCGAAACCATAATGGAAAGGACGTTTACTTTCCAGTTTAATATTGATATTATCAGGATTGTATAGTTGCTTTGATTCGCAAATAAACAAATTCAATTCCATATCATATGCTGGCATAAACATCCAACGATCATTTTTCTTTGAGAAGGCATAGACTAAACGATCACGTACATATCCATTGTCATTAAATTGACCAGGACCTTAAAAAATTTTATTTGTTTGTTAAAATTTTTAATTATGCAACATTTTAGAAAATAACTCGGTATAATAATACTTAGCATTACGTTTTAACTTACCTATAAAGCCACGTAAATTATTTTGATTTCTGTTCGCGGAACCACCAATTGTATTATAATATTGATTGGGATTATTACGATTGTTATAATCATTGAAACTATTTTGTACCAGAAAACGATTATCATGTAAATCTTCATTTTCAATGGCCTGATCTTCATCAAATGAAAAGGAATCTTCGATCATTAGGAAAGGCGTGCCATCATCATTGCCCCAGCTATTGACACCCGTCTGGCGAGCGGATGTCCAGAAACGATTTTGCCGATGGTTTTGTAATATTAAATGCTTTAGAATAAATGAATGTTTCTCAACATTATCGACATTTAACAATTCTGCGTTATAAGCTTTACAAATCTTTTTCGCATCAATCCAATTACGTTTTGGTGAACGTATGAAACGATAACATTCTTGTCTAAACGATATCCAATGTTCGGGACAATAATTCAGATCATCACTATAGTTATCTAAATAACTACTACCGACAGATGAGTATGTATTGGTATTTGTATTTAAATTACGATTAAATGGATCGTAAGCAGGACTTTGACCACCCAATAATGTATTACCAGTGCCTCCCGTAAGCTGACGATTTATATTTGATTGTGAATCATAATAGGTATTGTAATTCTGTTGTCCTAGAACAGTACCACTGTTAAGCGTATTTGTATTTCCTGTCAGCTGTTGCTGATCCTGTATTGAGGTTAAGAGAGGATTATCGTATTGCGTAGAACCGATCTGTTGATTTGATTGGGTGTTCGTATATTGGGGATTATAACGTGGTTGATATGTTTGTGGATCATTAGATAATTGTGCTTTAACTACATTTATTACTAATATAAATGCCAATAGTTGGTGGCAGTTTATTTTTGGTTGAAACATGTTGGTTATTAAAACTTTTTTGTAAATCGTTATTTAAAGGCACATTTTTTGTAGTTAAATTCGTTTATGTTTTAAAATAAGTACTATAAAAGAAGTACTTTAAAATAAGTAGATGTACTAAAATTAAAAAAAATGTTTTGTTGTTAAATATAAATTAAAACGATAGACTTAAACTATACTGAGGAGAATATGCGTTTGTGCTGATGCTTCCAAAGTGTTAAAAATCACATAATGGTACTAAACAGGACAACTTTCAAAACTTTTCTAATCCTTTGATTCTAATCAAATTTTAATGGGAATAACAGAAAAAAATAATATATAACTGGAATGAATTTTGTAATTAATTGTATGAATCGAACATGACTTTTTCCCAAACCATTTTTATTCAAAATATTAAAAGTTCATAGAATGTATTAATTTGCACATGATGGAATTTTTTGAATTTTTACTTTTTTTCTGCAATATTCATGAAAAAAATTGCTAACAAAGTCTATTATTTTTTTTTTTATTTTTTTATTTATTTTCATTTTATTTAATCGAGGCCTAAAGGGCCATATATGATTAATATATTATAATTGGTAATGTTTGTACAACTATGTATAATCTAATTATATACATTTATATATATATGAGTTTACAATTTTATAAATTCGTTATGCTGGAAATTAGCTACATAAAATTCTCCAATTGAAGCATGGATGCGAATAAGGGCGTAAAGACCACCTTTTCAAAATCGCGTTTTTTCGCATAATTATATTAAACTAACCTTTTTACATCTATTCATAAAAAAATAAATTGAAAAATATAAATTTTTCGCTAAAATAGATAGTTTTAAAAGCACGATTTTTAAATACTATTTATTTTTTTGGGTAAAAAATATTAGCAATTTAATGTATTTTCTGTAAAAAATCGTATAAATTTTAATTCTAATTGCAGCAAATTTGCAGAATGGTTGGAAAACATTTCAAATTTATTAATTTTTTAATTATATTGCAAAAAAAAAATATTATTGAATGAATTATTTAAGTATGAAAGTGTGGACAAGAAGAAGGGCGTATATCCATAACTATAGTTATATTTTAAAAAATTATTATATCTTGTTATTTTCGGATTATTTTAGTTAAAGAGGTCCTATCCAATTTGATAATGAACTAAGATAATAATGTGGTTCGCTGATTTTGACAATAACGCAATAAGGTGCGATTTTTTTGGTATAGTAGGCGTTTTTAATATAAATCTAGTAGAGAAATATCTAATTTGGTGTTCCTGTTTAATAAATTAAAAATACATATAAGTATGTATGTATAAAAATACTAAAAAATATATTTTTTTTTGGTTTTTATTTTAATTATTTATAAGGATAATGAAGGATGTCCTTGAAACTTTAGCAAATGATGCTCTAGACTGTTATGTTGAGGCTGTCCAAGTTTTATATAATAAAATAATTAAGAAGTATATAAAAATAACATTTATTTATATATACTTTCAACTAAAATATATGGATATATGCCCTTATTCCATTTTAGAAAAATTTCAAGTATTAATTTTGGCAAGTTGTGACTCGAATTTTTTACTGAGTTTTAGCACAGGGATAGATGTGAGTTATATTTATGCATATATGTGAAAAAAGTAGGAAAAAATGCCGATTTTAAAGTTTTATGATGTTTTTATCGTCTCCTGTAAAATTTCCCAAATGGTTTATACGCCCTTATTGGGCTCCATGCTTCAATTATTTCTTTTTAATAACTGGAATGGAAATATTGAAGTTCCTTAATTCAATGGGAAGCGAATTCCATAACCTTGATGTTCTTATTAAAAATGATCTCTCAAATGAGGAATTTGATATTCGGGCATTAATATATGAGGATTTCGCGTAGACTGCGATAAATTAAAGCATCTAAAATGAGCCTCTGGTGATTTATCTTTCATTATGCGATACATTATTATCAAATTATGAACATTAATAAAATTTCTAAATTTCTAAAAATCGCGTTGCATAACTGGATTCATGATCTCTTATATTAAGCCTAAATACATATCTTATTATTCGATTAAATACATGCTGCAGTCTCCTAATTTGACTTCCAGTTGTTCCACTATATGTATATCTCTAAACAATACCGAATGTGTGTCATTAGAAGTGATTGGGCTAGATTGACAATCTAAATTATATAAAGTACGCAATACACAACAGACTTTAGCAGAAACGTCCGATATATGGTGCCCAAAATTTAAGCCACTGTCTAATGTTACATTAATGTCATTATAAAGGCCTCAGCTTCTTCTTCTAAATCCGTTCAGAAACTTAAAATCGGTTGAGATTCGATGAAGTTAGAGCTTAAAGATATGAAAAACCGATTTTTACCCGTACCTCAAGATTTTGGAGGTGTTTGCGAAATTTCAAAAACAGGTTCATCTTCTACTCGGATCCGTCTTTCAGAAAAATGGTATCACTTCCCAGGTATTTATTTTTGTCGCATAGTGTAATAACTTATTTAATAGATACAAATTTATCGTTTGCAATAAAGATGAAACAAATATGAAAGTAATTAAAAAGCACATACACAAAATCAATACTTTCAAGTACACAATTTGTTTACGTTTTCAATCCATATCAAATGGTGGTTGATTAATACAGTAGGTGAGGGAGGTTTTTTATGCGTAGTATATAATTCATTAATGGAATTTAAATGTACATCTTCTTTAATTGTATGAAACAAATAAACAAATCTTTAGTAATTACCCAAACAAGATAATAAAAATCGGAATGATTCCTAAACAAATAAATATAGCAAATTAAAAAAGGCTATTCACATAAACAAATTAAAATGGAATCTATTTAAAATCAAAAATAAAAGCTTAGCAAATTAAACACTTTCATACTGTTTTAACAATGAGTAGATGAATGTAGGTGTGGTCGGTCAATTCATAATTAATTTAATTAGTAAAACTATCACAAGATTACCACTTTTCATTTACAATTTTAAGAATACAAGTATTATTCTAATTACAATTGTTTTTTCTTTGGCCACCTTTATTTTCTACAATTGTTTTGACACCTGACGCTGTGACAGAGCAACGTAAACAAAAAAATACTCTGCTCTGCCTCTGTTGCTTCACTGCCAACGTTTCTACACTTTATTACAACAACAAGGTTTATTAGTAAGCTTGTCTTAAACCACACCTTAATTAAAATGTTTAACACTATTAGATTTTTATTTTAATCCATAAAATGACACTTTTTGTTAAATATTTTGGACATAATTTTTAAAATGATATTTAACTATAAGAATTTATTAAAATTACCGTTTTACTATATGTTTTTTTTAAGAAATAAACGTTTTTAAAATATATTTTCGAGGAGCACAACAAAACAGTTGAACCAAACACGTCTAATCGGAAAGAATGAATGAAATACAAACTAACGAGTAACGAGTAATTACACATTTCTGGCTTTGTTGTAGTGCTGCCAGATAGCGGATTTAGTAAGCAATAGCTTCACATTCTTTTTTTAAAATAATTATAAAATATTGACATACACTGTTTACATTTTTGATTATTACTACTTTCACATACAGCCCTGTGTTTTTAATTAATCAGCTGTACATTAAAAACAACAAAGCAACAAGAAATAGAAATAAGGAAAAAAAGAACCGAAAAGAAAGAAGGAGATAAAAAAAGAGAGAAAGTGAAAAAGTGAAAAAGAAAAATAATAAAATTGAATGAAAATATCTATTTACACCAAACACTTTAGTAAAGACTACAATAAAAACATATGTTTCGGTGGTCTTTTCCAATGATTGACAAGTTACTGAGAGTAACAACAACGGAAGAAATAGCAAATGTAGAGAAAAAATTCGAGTTTTTGGGAATTAGTGGCAACACCACGGGGGAAAAATAAATTACATAGCATATAAAAAGAACAGGGTGCACTTATAAGGTGAAGTCAATTCAACAGCTGATTGTTATTAATGAAAATTGTTTTTAATGAAAACTGTTTAAATTGTAGTAATAACAAACAAAATTTCCACACAATGAAACAAGAGTATTTTTCATTTAATTTTGAAATAAAATCTCTGCAAGAATATAATATGTATTTGGAATTTCTATATTTACGGTATTTATTAAAAAGACCACTCTGGCAACATATACAATTTTTGACATAAGTATACTCTTTTTTTGTTGTTTTTGTAGAATTGACTTCACCTTATTATTCCATCATGCAAAAGAAGAAGAAATACGAAAGTGCCATCGCGAAAAGTAGCCGCTCGCTTCTTGGGTGTAGTAATATTGTACAAAAAACTTGTTGATTTTTCTTTATTATAACAAAATAATTGGCAAATAACACAAACTCACACATACAATTAATAATAATGTTTTATTCTTATCAGTGCTAAATTTGTTTTTAAACAAACGACTACAGTGATTTTGTGTAAAAAATATCTAAACAAACGATAAGAATCGGTCGGCATTTCTTTTATGCAAAATTTGTGCAGATTGTAGGACAAGAAAAATATCGTGAAAATAATGTCCTCCTCCTATAACCGCAATACAGAATTGCGAAATGTCCACACTAAAGATTTATACAATTTGGCTGTTATACTCGACGATGACAATTATTGGCAGACTTTAATGGAAATAATACCAAAAGAATTGAACAATCAAACATTTGGTAATACTGCACAAGATTTGGAGAAAATTGCCTCAGGCTCAGCGTATGAACGTAAATATAATAATGATCATATACGCCTAATAGAGAATGCAATACGTCGACCTGGCGAATCACGTCTATATTCACAAATTCTCTTCGACGAGTGGGGTTCGTCGGGACGTAAACATGAACGACCCACATTGGGTGTACTCTTGCATTTGTTGGTACAATCAAAACTCTATCGAGCGGCGGATTTTGTTGCAGAGCTTTTGAATGGTAAGTTTGGATGTTATTCCCTTTTAGTACTTGGATCTGATTTACTTCCGGAATGGAGTTATCATTTTTACATTATAAATGACAATTTATAATAAATGAATCACCATAAACTTCTGGGTATTTCCTATTTATACCTATAAGAAAATTATAATAGTAGAATATTGAATTTAATTAGCTTTATAACAAACAAAAAATAATGTTTCTACTACTATCTTAATACAATGTCTTTCCTGATGTAGGGTATAGGTTAGGTTAAGAAGGGTTATACACCGCAAAAACGGTGTATATCCACTCGGAGACCATAAGGTCCATTGTGATTCCCTTCAAGAAGTGAAGATTCTAAACAGAGAAGCCAAAACATCACCACAACACAAGAATGAAAGAAAATAGAAAATAGATGTAGGGTATAGTAAGGTCGAGACTTGTTTTTTATTAAAATAATGTTTTTTTAAAAATTATTTTTGATAACTATTATCATTTACTGATTTAATTAAACAGTCTTAAAATATCACTAAGATTAGTTAATAAATAGATACCAATAACTAAATGAAAACCAAAAATGGAAAAATACCTTAAAATTTCTAAAAATATACATATACTATTTATGTAAATTGTGCATATATTGGAAAAAAATCATTGTAATGTGTTGCCAAAATATTCGATTGATTTTTGTTTACACAATTCAATAAAGATAACTTTAACAAAATTTATATTTGTAAATATGCATTCTTTTTTGTTTACACAATTCAAAAACTCAAACAAAATTATAATTTGTAAATATGTGTTCATACATATAAAACAAAATTATGCATCTATAATTAAAATGCATTAATATAAATTACGAAATTATGATGCCCTACACTACTCTACCTGTTTAATTATAAGTTTATAGTTTCAATATTAGGGAAAACTCAAAAAGTACCAGTTGTAGAACGAAAAAGAATAAAAAATATAGATTCTCATTTACTCAGGACTCTGCTTGTTTAATTTCATGGTTCAAGATTCAATATTATTGAAAATTAAGTAATAAAAAGGAAACAATGTAAAAGTAACTAAATTTTTCACCCCTTAAACGTCCATATATCCAAAAGTACTAAATCCGTATTTTTACTTTTTTGATAAGTTACGAATTATTGAATCAGTAACGTTAAAATTTAATATAGATTACAGGGATTCTGTAAGTGGTTCTCATATAAAACCTAAAACCTATTACAGACCAGCAAACACATTCATAATATTCATGCCAGCAAAATAGCTAATACAAATAACGATAAATAACTATTTTTTCTAGAACCCAAACCACAACGACCTTCAAATGGTCCTGCTGCAGAATTTGAATTTGAAATAGATGTTTTTAATGATATTCAAGAGACAGTAAATGATACACGCTTTTATCCCAATACAGAAGATTTAGAAGAAAATGTAAATATTGATATTAATAAAGACTATTATACGAAATATCATAAAATTGTTGATAAAAAAATACCAACTATAAATGATAATACTGAAGAGCCAATAATGACAGTGGCTCCAAAACCCCCACCAAGGTTATTAAAATCAGCGAGATTATTAAAACAGCAGCAGCTGCAGCAACAACAACAGCAGCAGCTATCAAATCAATTACTACAACAAACTGCCAATAAAAATGATATAAACAACAAGAGCCCAAATAATATACAAGAACAAGTACAACAACAAATCCAACAATTGAATACACATTCGAATAATGAAAGTGTGTCAGTTTTGTCTTCAGCCTCCACAAATAATATGCCCAAACTGTCGGCACTAATGAATTCAACAAATAGTATAATTACTACAACTACAACAACAATGACAACAACGAACTACTCATCGGAAGTGAGTGAAACCGTATTGCCAAAATTATCTGCACTGAATAATAGTTCCGAAAGAATATCTCAACATTATGGCGAGGAGGACGAAGATGATAGTTTAAATAGTACACCTTCACTAATTTATACCAAACCAAATATTGTACAAGACCATGACCATGAACATTCAGATATGAATAGCATACCAATAGTAGTATTAAGTAAACCTTTAAATATTGACACTAAAAAAGAACAAGCACACAGCGAGAATGATGTTGAAATAAACGATGATTTGCCAGCGATAAGCGCTTTAAATCTAAATGGCGAAAGGGATGAAGTTATAATACAACAAAATCAGCTTCAACAGAGTAATAATTTCGAAAATGTACCCTCAGTTGCTTTAAATTATACGGGTCATCGTAGGGCCAGTTTTGAGGAGTGTGCCGTCCATGATGAAGATTTAAATATACCTTGTTTGGTGGCCAATATGAACTTTAACGAAAATCCCTCCAGACATCAACTAGAGTCGATAGAAGAAGACTACAATGGCATTGAACATGAACATGACAACGAAGGCGTCGTAGGAGAACTGGACGAAGATGAAGATTCCATACCGAATTTAAGTTTCTTAGAGAATCGTAGCTCCAACAATGAGTCCAGTTTAACTAGTGTCACGAATACCAGTGGTGACAATAGTTTCGAGCAAAGTGTCAACGATTGTAGTTCAACTTCCACTGACAATGTTCCATTTTTAAGTGTATTTAATCAGTAATTTATTACAGCTATATACATACGTAAAATTTTACTACTATACATACATACGATTATTTTATTATATGTATTTATTTTTTTAAGTACAAAATTTTAAAACATTTTAAATGTTTTAAGTTAATTTATTATTTAAAATTCATCTTTAAGATTTACTGACCTTCAAACATAAAATTTTTAGTTATATTTCTTTTTGTAATTCATTCCATGACATTTACTATATTTAAAATTATTTGTCAAACTCAACTTTATCTATTTTCCGTATTTGTCAGATTTGTAGGTTATAGCTTGAAGCTTACGGTAAACAGTGTTATTTGTAAAAATTGTTATTTCAAAATTATTTTAGATACAATGATCATTATTCTCGAAACTATAGCTCAACGTTTAGTTTAACAAATAAAACTTTTAACAACAGAACTATAATTTGCATATCTGACAAACATTTTAATTACATAACTATATGAAATTGTTAAAAAAAAAAAATAAAAATCTACGTTTAATTACAATTTAAAATCCTTGTAAACATTTTTAAAAATTCTTAAAAAGTCCATTTTTTACTGAAGAAATGCTCAAAATCTAAACTATACTCTAGAAAATTTTTTGGACATACTTATTTGACACTACATATTTCATTTATGCTTTGTATATAAAGTGACTGGATGTAAAAAAACCTAATTTCTTCCATAAAAGTTTTACTTTGAAATAGGTTATTAACAAAAATGTATGCCAAAAGCGCAAAATATACCTTTTATACCCTTTACCTTGTCATTCCTTTGTACAATCCGCAATATAATTTTGCAATCATATAAAGTATAAATATATTCTGAATCCTTATAGTTAGCAAAGTCAATTTAGCGATGTCTGTTTTTCTGTCTGCCTTTTCAGAAGTTAGCTATTGAAAAATCAGCAAAATCGGTACATAAGTAGCAAAGATATGAGCAAGATTCCGGAAAACCCCATGATTTTTTTTTTTTTTTCAAAATAATATATTTATATACCAATTATTATGCACAGAATTAGAATTTTTTTAAAACTAAAAAAAACAAATAAATTTTATGTTGTTACTTGTTTGGTTTCAAATTTATACCACACATGGGGAATACGTTAAGAAAATTTTTCTTTCCATAACTAAATTTGAGTTGTCACTTTTTGAATATAAATACATATATTTTTCTTATCTATTTTTAGTATCATTTTGAGCAATACTTATTCGAAAAATTTCCATTTTTGTGTGCTTCATTTAATTTATAACAATATAATTTATTATTCCTTTTTTTTTTATTTAAATTGTAAACAACAACAATTACTCATTTATTTTCAAGAGATTTTTATTATTAGTTTTTATTAAGATTCAATTAAAGTTTTTCATTTAATAACAAAACATATCGAAAAATATAATTTAGAATTATAAATTTATGTATCTTGTATGTAGTGTTAGTTATATAAAATATGTATATTTATGTCAGTCTGCATGTCCATCTACAATTTATACAATTTGTATTTATCTCTTGTATAAATTAATAGCATATACATATACATAATAAAAACTAAAATTATTGTTGACTTTGAAATTCTTTATATTTAAAATCTACAAGAACAGAATTTTTTAAGTAAATAGAACATAGAACACATTAAAGGTAAATATTTATATAAAGAAAACTATTATTTATTTGTTTAATGTATTTATTTATTTAACATATTCATTTGTTTATTATTGTACACCAATTACCACATATAATTTGTTTATCGTTGACATCTTCTAATTTAAGTACAAATTTGAAATTATCACAATATTCTTCAGATATCTTTAAGCCCAATTGACCATAGGCATTCCAACCACTGACATATAGGGAACCACAACTCATTAGCAGTATTGTATGTCTTGCACCGGCTACAACTTTTAGCGCATAACAATTGGACTCCATATCTTCTTCATCATTTGTAGTTTTACAACTCTGGCATGTTAGTTCGATTATTTGAGGCAGAGGATATACTTTTGGTTCTTTAAGGCATTTCTCATTTGTTTTATAAAGACGCAAACCTAACTGACCATTTGAATTGAATCCCCAAGTGTATAGGTCACCAAAAGCCGAAATGGCTGCACTATGCCAACCTCCGGCAGCTATAGAAGTTATCTAAACGTAAGAAATACTTTTTATTAGTCACATATTTATGTAAGTATTATTGCTTTACTTTTATTCCAGCTAAAGCTTCCAACAAACTTGGAGTTTCCTCTACTCGTAACACTTCCAAACCCAATTGTCCTCTCCTATAAGGAAAATAATAAAGGTTTGGAATCTTAAATTAAAAAACTTTGAACCTAACATACAAACCATTGCCCCAAGTATAAATATCACCATTTGTTGTTAGTAGTAGAGCATGTTCAAAGCCGCATTTTAATTGTTTGGTACGTTGATGTTTAGGAAATTGATAAATTTGTGTTGTACCACTAAAAACAGCATTTGTGGTACTAACAGCTATGGTTATATTATCGCCACAAGCTATATGAGCCATTTCCAAAATTGTTTTAGTCGTTTTACATTCTCCAAATATACTACGTTTTTGTGGATTTATTACCTTTAAACTAGTTTGAAATGTTATTTCTTTAAGTTTTTCTTCATTTTCAGGTAGTAGTTTATAAACTTTTCCATTTTGCAGTAAAACTAAGCAATATTTATCACATATATCTATGGATTTGATAGGGACATCTGTCTTTATAGATTTTATAGTTTTGGGGTTATTTGATATGAAGCCTTGCAGGTGAAGAGAGCAGTCATTAGCAACAGCTAAACAATTCCAAGAAGAGGCTACTAATAGATTAGTATTGGTTTCTTCCAAAGGCATTTGAAATTCTGAAAAAAAGATTTCGAGAGCATTTCAGTGGTATGTTCTATATACACAATCCCTCAAATTTAAAATAAGAGTGAAATCTCTAAACACCCATTTTCGATCATTTTTTTCGGATAAATCTTAAACATACAAATTTTTCCGCATTTCGTTACTCAACGATCGGAATTGTAAGAAAAAAGAGAAGCAGTACATTTTCGTACCAATACTTCGATTTTAATAAAATACCGAATATACCCTGCCAGCAACTCAACTAACTTTAAATGCATTAAAAGCCGACTTTTTTACCAACTAGTTATGGTTGATTCTTCGATTATTCTTAATGGAGCCAACTGACTATTTTAACATGGCGATGTCCTACGCAGTAGTCAATTGTCCGACTCTGCATGACTTTTCAACTATCTTAAAGTAACAAATTAGCTTAAAGGTAACTCTTTATTAACTAACTTAAAGTTAGTTTCAGAAAAGTCAAGTAATAGTTTTCTTTTGTATTCCCTACTGTATTAATTAATAACATTTTATTTAATATATTTAAAATTTAACTACTAGTTATCTAAATTATATTTCGCTTTAATACAAGTTATGATACTAGTTCGTTAAAATTAATAGACATCAGTTTTCTGCAGGGGAACTAATAATAACACCGGTATCCATAAAATTATGAATGATTTGTTCATTATTTCCATGATTTCCATTGACCCAAATCTAAAATAAATTTTAAAATGTTATGTGTAATGTTAACTGTTGATGTATTATATTTACAGTATTAATCAGCAGAATTTAGGGACCGAGTTTTGAAATATTTAACCTTTTATACTTAATTTTTCCAATTTACTGACTCTAATTTCACAATGTATACAAGAAAATGACAAAAATGTAAAACAAAATTCCAAATAATAAAGAAACATGAGAAAACATGTCGAAACAAAATGCTCTCCAGATAATTTTGGGGTACTCCCGCATTATATGATAGTTAGCTTGTAGCTAGTCTTTAAAAGTCGGTTGTTTACGTTAATAAATACCAAATTTTGGAACATTTCTGCATTACATTGTTGTTCGTTTATAGTCAGTCTACTAAAGTTAACAAATAAAAATAATAGAGAAACAAGAGAAAACATGTTGAAATACAATTAATTCTCTCCAGATAATTTTGAAGCACTTCTTCATTACAGCTTGTAGTTAGTATTTAAAAGTCGGTTCTTTACGTTGCCAAATACAAAATTTCGGGACAGCTCTGCATTACATTGTAGTTAGCTTATAGTCAGTCTGTAAAAGTAAACTAGAAGTGAATTTTTCTCGTAGTCGACTACAAAATTGCTGGCAGGGTAGTGAATACATACATATACCCAGCAAAAACTCGGTAATGGGTTGTACTTCCATAACCACTTACTTTTCAATGACTATTACTTACCGTCTGCATTACATAGAAGTACTCTAGTAATGACTTTCTTATAATCTGATATAGAAGTACTTTATTTTCGGCTTTGTCATTTTGTTTGCACATTTTATTTAATTGCGTTTTAAGAATTGTGTTTTAAAAAAATAAAAAAAAAATTAGTTTTGTTTGTGAAAACCATTATTTGACGCGCAATAAAATAGCTAAGCAGTGGTGCAGTGTGTAGAACATTTGACTAACAAACCGAAGCCCCTGGTTCGTATTCTAGCTGGCTCTTTTTATTATTAAAAAACAAAACAACTTACTCAACAACTGTTTTGTAAGGGAAATTGCAAGTACTTCTTTAAGTCCCTATTTGTAAGCGTGCGTAGAAGTACTTGCCTCCAATGACATCACCGTGTTAAAATAATGACTTAAAATGCTAATGAAGAAGTAGTGAAAAGAGGTTTTATTAGCTATTTAACTCATTACTTTTCAATGTAAGTTTTTCCTGGGTACATATATATTTTAAAAGGTCGCAAAAATATATTGTGAGCATTTTTCACGGAATGAAAAACTTATAGAAATACAGCATAAAATCCCGGAATTTTTGAAAAGCCCGTCTGATTCACATCTCTATATTTAACAGTGTTCGGCTCTGCTTTAAGCACATCGGTTGTAAATAAATTTCTTGCTTATGGAAAAAAATCGATAAATATTCTTAATAAAAAATTAAAAAATTATCGAAAACTCAACTGTTCTGCATTAACGATTATCCAATTTTTCGATACTTATGATTTATATTAAATACACACCCATCTGTATGTAATCTCAAAATCTTACTAGATATTTTCTGTAACAACTAAAATTGCGATGGTGTACAAACCTACATACCTTCAAAATTTAGCAATTTCCGTTTAGTTTTTTCAAATTTGAATTGTCCAAAACCATTGAAACCACAAACAAGCCATTGTTTGTTATACTCTCTTGTTGAACCTTTAACGGTTGCTAAGTGATCTTTATTATTACTTGCATTGTAATTGTAACATGGTCCTATTCCACCACCACCCTCTTCCATAGTATATTAACCCACTAACAACAATGTTAGCTTAAGCAGAACAATACCTATTAACGTTTAAATACTAAGGCATCAACAACTCTCAGTGCGTATTAAACTTTACAAGTGTACTGTTGTTATTTGTTAGAATTTTTGTTTAAATTGTTTTATCTAGAACATAAAAAAAAGAAAACAAAAGATTTACATACTATATCATTTAAATTAATACAAAGTTGTGTGTAATCCTCAAAAAAGGTGATAAAAATTAAAGCATAAACATTTGCAATTATGGTAAGTAATATTTATTTATTTATAATATAATTATTATTATTTAATATGTTAAATTTTCACAATTTCTTTGTTTATTTTATAAATAATTACCATGGCAACCGGGAATTCAGTAATTAGTAGTTTTTTTGAATGAAGTGTTTAATGCATTACAGTGGAATCCGATTATAACGAACAAGAAGTTCTGCGCCTTGATTTTGTTATTTTTTAATATAGATTCGAATTAGTTAGAACATGCGTATTTTAAGGAAAAGCTGCTGTAGACTAAAACCCAATAAGGCTTAAAGATGTGCTTCCATCGGTACAACTAGTGCTAGGGACAACACAATGCAAGCGGCATTGGATATTATTCCCTATTGCGAAATAAGTTGGTGGCACTAGGAATTAATGTAGACCATGTAGACTAGAATACTGTACGATGTATATTAGTTCTAGCAGGGATTAACGAAAGTACTGAGGATATTTCTGATCATTTGGTTATGAGCTTGGACTTTGGAGTTAGACCTTTAATAATGCTTCCTTGTAGAGACAAGTGGAGCAGGTCTATTGTTTGAAGGGTGTGTATTCTTTAGTGGTGCCGGAGTTTATCTGATTGATAGCGACATAAAATTGTCATAGACTTTCGGACAAATGAAGTGAAATCCTGAACCGATATTGTTTAGGTGAAATCCTGAACCGATATTGTCGATTTTTTATTCCTAACAAACTTATCAATATGTATAGAATATTTAATCTTCACAGGTCCATATTGAGAAGTGTTGTTGAATAAAACAAATATGTGGATTATTAAAAAAAGAATTATGATTACTTTATGGCAAAATCGTTTTAATAGATTTATTTCCTACATTGTTCGTTATAATCGAATTGTACTGTTGTTTGAAAAATGACAACACATAGTTGCAAATTTTCGTATTAAATTACACTCACAATTTTTTGAAGGTAATTGACACAACTACCACACAAAAATATCATAACTTTTTTGAATATTTTTCCAAAACTAGAATTTATCAATCAAAAGTACACAGTATTAAAAATAGAAATTTAGCAAAACTTAAGTTCCAATGAAGATCCTCTTGACATTGATCCAAAAATAGGTCATTATAAGTTTTTAATGTGTTTATCGTTTTAAATTGTGATAAAAATTAATACATATGTACCATAATATACAACTCTGTTTTAGTTAATTTGCTTCGCAATACAGCAAAGACATAAACCAAATGAGTAAAGCCGATGCTACATAAATAATGTCAATTATTAACTTTTTCAAATTAAGTTTTAACCGTTACTTTCTACATATAATTGTACTCTTCAACAGGGGTTATTATCTTTATTACGTAAATTAAGGCCAAATCCAGAAAAGGAAGCCAGAATTTTATTACTTGGCTTAGATAATGCCGGAAAAACTACAATCTTAAAACAATTGGCCAATGAAGAAATAACAACGGTAAAATAAAACATTACACATAGTATATACACATTATTTGATTGTCAGCAATTAACCAGAAACAATAATTTATTTGCAGGTAACACCGACAGCAGGTTTTAACATTAAGTCGGTTGCAGCTGATGGCTTTAAATTAAATGTTTGGGATATTGGTGGCCAATGGAAAATTCGACCATACTGGAAAAACTACTTTGCAAATACGGATGTTTTGGTAAAAATAATGAAAACAAAACAAAATAGAAATTATAGTATTAATTTCATGTTGTTACTTTGGTTGCCATTGTTGCATGACAAATAACAATGCTACATTTGTTTATGTTTTAGAGATTTTCATTAGATTAAATGTGTGGTTTGCATGTATGTATCTTGCAGATTTACGTAATTGATTGTACGGATCGTGAACGTTTAGCTGAAACTGGCAATGAACTTTTTGAAATGTTGATGGATAATCGTCTTAAACAAGTTCCTCTTTTAATATTTGCCAATAAACAGGATTTACCAAATGCAATGTCATCATCTGAAGTCGCCGAAGCAATTGGCCTGGTGCGTCTTGAAGAGCGTACTTGGCAAATAAAGGCCTGCTCTGCTGTTGAGGGTACCGGTATTAAAGTAAGAATAAAACAACATAAATTCCATTATTAATTAATTGTCTATTCAGTTATAACATTAATGACATTTTTTTAATACATATTTCTTTTTACAATTGCAGGAGGGTATGGATTGGGTATGCAAGAATATGAAAAAATGATTCCAGTATTTTGAATAGATTTAATTCTTGTGATTATTTTGCGGTTGTTTTTAATGTGCACAATTTATTATTTATTGGAAATAAAAATATTGATTCCTAGTTAAAAAAGGATTTTTTTAAAATTAATTTTAATCGGTGAAATCAGTTTTAGTTACAGCATTTAAATATTTTGGCCATTACACAAACACTTCGATAATTTGATATCTGTAACCCTTTCGATTTCTTATTGCTAAATGCGGGATATATGACGTATAAATTGGCCTATGGCGTATGAAATAGGCCTCTAAAATTAGACATGTTGAGAACCGTTATTGAAGTTTCATAAAACCAAGCTTGACGTCCTGGTAGAACGATCATAACATGGAAAATGCCCTTCATCAGCGCCAAAATTACTGTTCATTTTTTGAGGCCAAGAACGAATCAAGCCAATTTCGGATACTTTGTTCTGAATTAAAGCATTTCCCAGAGGGTGCGTTCTGCACCGATCGAAATAAATAATAGACTTACAGGACAAGGTCTGAACTATATAGACTATTTCTAAATAGTTACAAATATTGCAAAGGCCAACAAAATTTGAAAAATGTCAAAACCCAGTGGTCATAGTATACACTTTTAAGCTCCACTAAATACGAATTTGGCCTCAGAATTTCTTCATAATATCAGGTTTTCAAGATATCGAGTGTTAAACTCAGAATTTCTTCATAATATCAGGTTTTCAAGATATCGAGTGTTAAACTATACCTTAACTAGATCGGAACTATAACTGAATTAGAACTGAACTGGAACTGAACTATATCGGAAATATCACAGAGTGAGCAAATAACAGATTGAAGGGACATGGTATGATATATTAAGATTCTTTCTAAATAATTTTTAACAGATATTGCATCATGTGGCCCATAGTAACTTTGATTACACAGGCCAACAACATTTGACCATTGACCACAACATTTGACCATAGTACACACTACTAAGGGATTGAGCTCCACTGAATCAGAATCTGGCCTCAGAATTTCTTCATAATACCAGGTTTTCGAGATATCGTGTTGTAAACTGGAGCTGAGCTAGATCGGGTTTATAACTGAACTAGAATGGAACAAGAACTGAACTAAAACTGAACTAGAACTGAACATCCGATTCTGTTGACTTAAAATAAATGTTTAACTTCTCTTATATCTTCTCCCTTCTTCGAAATACAGTGGTGGAAAAAATAATAGAAACGACTTTATTTTGGGGTGAAAACTAAATTTTCTCAAAAGGTACCCGTTAGAATTTGATGATTTGTATCTTAAATAAAAGGTATTTAGGTCTACATTCCTATGATAAATGGAGTTTGTAAGTTTTTTTTGCTCCATCGTTTTTTATTGGAAAAAATAATAGAAACGATTCACAGTATTACAATGGGGACATAAGCTGAGATTTCTTAAACTTCGTTTAGTACTTATTTTTAAAAATTTTGATTATAAATGAAATTCTTAATATAAAAGTATACTTTTTACTTTAATTTTTATGTTAACATTTGATTTTTCGAAGCTTGATTGACCATATGGAACCTGAAAGCTGAATCAGAGACCCGACTTTAAATTTTTCTTAAATAAGAATTTCAGATAGTGAAAAAAATGTCTTCTAATGGTTAAATTATCTAAAAAAATAGTTTTTGAGAAGATTTCGTGAAGAAAAAGTTTTGAACCCACTTATAGATAAGGACAATCCACCGATTTTTGGGCCAAATTTCGAGCAATATTTCGCTATTTTGCAATTCAACCTGTTCTTGGTCAAAGTATATTGATGGACTTGTGAAATAATGCTAAATTAAGTTAAATTTAACACAAAAAGTTCACAAAACCTAAACAATTTTAAAATTCGTTTCTATTATTTTTTCCACCACTGTATCTTAATATAAAATTTTAATCCTTCAGAAATGTATGCTTTGTTTTCTGTGTTTTTTTCTTCAAGCAGCATGAAAGTGTATAGATTTTCGATCTCTATTAGATTTATAAACGATTTTGCCATGTCCCTCCCTCTGTCTTTTAAAAAAGTGTAGGATCTACACGGGAGAATTTCACATAAATAATCCAAATCTCCACCAAACTTCATGAGAAGTTTGGACTATAATAGAACCAAGTCCCCAAAAATTGCCTTTTTCCGAAAATCACCCTGTTGTCTGGGGCTTACATGATAATACAATTTAGCATAACACTAATAAATCAGTAAATCGTGGAATCAGTAAATCGCATAAAAAAGAAATTTGTTAAAAAAGTTAAAAACTTTAGGAAATATTTGATTTTATATTTAACAGATACCAAATGTGCTAACCTCATGGCCGCCACTGTATATATATAATGCTACATGTTGGGTATATAATATTAGGCAAAGACGAATATAACACTCCTCCTAGAATATAAATGAAAACAAATATAAAATTTTACTTAAATATATATTTATTTTATTAAAATCTTTTTAAGTTATATAATAGAACTAAATACATTTTTATATACATCTCATTAAACAGAATAAAAGTTCACAATTAAAAAAAGAAAACGTAAAATTAAAATAAAATTTTTTAAAACTTAAAAATACATTTATCTCTCTGTAGAACGTAAAAAATATATAAACTAAATTGTTTAACACCTACAAGTCTGTGATAATTTCATTATAATTAAACCACAAAAAGAAATCTTATATAAATAAAGAAATTGCTACTAAGATCATTTATTAATGTTAAAAATTAAAATATAAACTGGGAATATAGTACCATGAAAAATTACATTAAAAAAAAATGCTCGAATCACACATTTTCAGGCAATTACAATTCATTGTGTATATATTCAGTGGTCACTTTAGCTTCGCCTTCATGGAATCCAGTGCAATCAACAGGATATTTAACCTAGAAAAAATTAAAAAAATAAATAAAATAAATTACAAGTTAAATAAAATGTATAGAAACGAATACGAGTAAAACATGTATGTAGAATGTATCGTTTGAATTCATTTGAAATGTTTAAATGTGCATACGAATTGGATCAGAACACAAATCTAAATCTAGCAACTAAATAATAAAAAAAATTCTAGACAACAACCACAATAACTTGTATTGGAATAGAAAACTTGTTAATTTGCTCTAATTTAACGAATACACAATCGTGTGAGTGTTTTTTTTTCCACAAACCAATCGATTTTGATATTTAATGTACAGTTAGTCATTTATTACTCACCTCACAATTTGATGCTGTTGTGATGACACTAAACAATGTCCAGAATGGTGTTCCAGTTTCAGTGCTAATGAAGAAAGCAGCACCCATACTGCCAACTTTAACAATTTTTGGACTGACACCTGAAATTAGACCACGAGATTCTTCGGCTGAATACTGTTCGGCATCATTAAGTTGACACAATACATAACGATCACAGTGTGGCTGTTTCATTACATATCTGTAGGCACGATGAACTTTTAAAACTGGTTCAATAACCTGAATTAAATAAGATTTTTAACAAAAATTAAAATACATAAATATCTGGGATACTTAGGGCCAGTCTTTAGGTGACAGATTAGTGATTAAATTAAAATTAATCCTCGAAAGATGTTTTTGAGTACTCAATTAGTTAATTTTGTTTGCAAGTTTAAGCGCCCAATGGAGGTGTTTTAATCTTAAGCACGAAATGCAAAAGTGTAAACAGCTGATGCAAAAAAATTAATAAAATTTTTATAAATATAAACATTAAAATGTTCTATTTATTGATTAGTATAAATTATGGTCACTTCAAAATACATTTTTTTTTGTTTTTAATTTAAGTTTTCATTAATTTTCATATTAAATTTACAATTGTCTTCTTCTTTTTTATAAAATATGCATTGTTTTGATAACAAACAGTGACATTTTCTGTTGTTTTGTATGGCAACACTGCGAAGTTTAATCTTGTACTCAAAAACATCAAAGGGGATTAACATAAGATTAAATTTATTTTTAGATTAACTAATCTGATTATTAATTGGCATTTGATTACCATCTCAAAAACCCGCTCTTAATGATCATAGCGTAACTTGGAATATAATGCTTTATAACTTAATAAAGTTTAGCTCTCTATAACATTCTAATATAAAATTTTTATTCCACTTCAACTGAGTTATTATAACTACTTACCTCTAAATTTAATGTGTCTGTTAGTTTATCACTAATATCAGTGGCATTAAATTGCAAGACACCACGTGCTTGACCCAATTTCATTAGATCCCTTGCATAGCCTACGGCTGGTTTTACATATTGGCGAGAATCTATTTTAACATTGAGATGATGTTTAGCAACGTGATCCAATAGATTAGAAATGGTTTCACTGGGACGGCTGGGATCGAAGAAGGTAGTCTTAGGATAGCCTTGAGACTTAAGGAAACCATTAAACATTAATTGTGCTGTTTGGAAGTATCTGAAAAGAGTAAAAAATCGTTGTAGTTTAAGGATTATTAAAATATGTATGTGACACAGATGTGAGCTTGTTTTGCTGAATATTTTTTGTCATCAAAAACTTATTTTCATTTAAATCTAAGATGAGAGTTGTGATATCCTGAATACCTGCTTCCTAGAATTTTTAATTTGAAACCGTAAAAAGGCTGTATGTACGAGTATACATGTATGTATGTAACTTTGTCAATCCGTTTGTAATTTCCACAATATAACTTTCCGATTCTATAAAGTAAAGCATATGTATTCTGAATACTTATAGATAGCGAAGTAGATTTGGCGATGTCCTGTGTCTGTATGTGAGTTGAAATCAGATTTCTAAAGACCGCAGACATCTTCGGAATCTAAATCTTTTATAATTCTATGAGACATGATTATTATTATGTCTGGGATAAACTAAGACTTTTTTTGGGGATTTTACTCATATCTGAACAATTTATGCATAGAATTTGGGTTTTTTGTAAAAGTTAAATGAAAAAAATTTAACAAGATCGGCTATGCCGATCCGCTACACTGATATAATGAAGCCATTAATGAGCGTTAAGGTAATTTTCTAAAGGGGACCTTATATGGGTGTCAATTATCGAAGAATGTTTCGATGTCCACCATACATTATAATATAATTTTCGGTTACTTAAAACTAA